AAACCAGGAAATATGCACACAAACCCTAAAGGGCCCAAGGCTACCAAAGTTATTCCCAAAGTGAAGCATGAGTGTCCAGCTCCTTCTTAATATGAGACCAAGCTATGGCTGGTTTTGTCACATGCATGGCTAATTGACTCTGTGTCCCTTTTCCTTTTCAGGATCCAAGATCCAAGAAACTCCCCCAAAGGCTTGCAGAAGTAATAAACAAATTGACCAAAAAAGCAGGATAGAAAATGAATATTTAAAAGGAATGAAAGAAAGAAAGAAAGAAAGAAAGAAAGAAAGAAAGAAAGGGAAAGAAAGAAAGAAAAGAAAGACACCTGTGCTTTCCCATAGACCCACATTGAATGTTCGGATTTTGCAATCAGGAAAGACATTTTCAATCCTGTGATATTCTGAGTTGCCCTGCTAGATTCCTCTGCACTCTTTTTGTGCCTGTCTCCTGGCCTATTCAATTTTCAAGTACCAGGGGGTCTGAAAATGTACCCTTTTCTGTCACTGTTTTCTTTTTGACTAGAAAGTGCTGCCTACACAACCACATCATTAAGCCCAAGTTAGGTAAATGCAAAATGGAGAAACCTTTCTCTCCCTAATTTGGCATCATATGCGAAGGATGAGTCTTCCTCTCAGTAAAAATTTCCCCAAAGGTTATTTAGATTGCAAAAGTTTTTGTTCAGCTAACGAGGCCCAGGTAACACTGTTTTGTTTCCCTTCAGCATAGCATAATTCAAATTATAGAAACCAACGTGATTCTATCACAAATGTCCTGTCATCAGAATGTTGCCAGTGTGTAATGCTGGCTGATATCCGAATTTGTCAGAATGTGTTTGAGTGTATTTTAAATATCATTCTCTCTTTATACTAGAAAACGTTGAGTCGGGTTAGGTGTTCCAGGAGTAGTATGTCTGCACAGTTTTGCGCATCAGATAGGATGTTTTGAGAGGATGTGTTTCTTTTGTGGTGGGGTTCTCCTTTCAGAGTCAGTAGCCATGTGAAGATGAAAGTTGGTCTTCATGGGGGAGGATACATGAAGTTCTCTTTTCAATCGTTCAATTTTGGAAGATTAGACTTGTCTAGGTTTTTAATTCTTACTGATGTGCACATCCCAAGTGACATATCTGCTTTAAAATGCTGATTCAGAATCGGTTATTGGTATTAATTTTAAATGATATCAATTTGTTATGAATTTTACCAGAGAATCTCTAAGATTTGCACAGGAGAGCGCTTTGATGGTTTCTCTCTGGATGCATTTGAAAAGGAAAAGCATAGTCTGGATGGTAAGTGCCAAACTTTCAAATTTTTTCAGTGGCCAAAATATTTACTTAAAACCTAATTTGAAGTATATTTGAATAGTTTTACACATGAATCTTATTAGTAGTGCTTTCACAATGTGGAAGGTAACAAGAGGTATATCTTGTACCATTTGTGGAACAGGTAAACTTCACAGTGTCATCAGATGATTGGAGTAACTGATTCAAAACCTGAGTAGGTTAATTGTTGGGAAACACTGGAGGGGAGAGTAGAATGTGGATTGAAGGAGGAAGGCAGCTTGCAGAGAGTCAATGGAGACAAAAGGAGCAGGTGTACACTGTGAATGGGGGAAAATCATGTGAATTTTCAGAAATAGAGAGAGAGAGAGGGAGAGAAACATATTGGAGATACCCGAAAGCCTTGTGAGTTTCAGGGACCAAATATGGCATGAGATGTAGTGCCAAGTTGTTTCACTCTTCTTGTCTTCTTTCAGATGTAGTGCCAAGTTTTTTCACTCTTCTTGTCTTCTTTCCAGTGAGAAAGGCATTCAGGAATGAAGTTCCAGGTCATACAGATATACCTTGATTCAATACCCATAAACTTATATGTTTCAACATCCACATATAGAATTGAACATCCTATGAAATGCTCACTTTTTAGCACTATTGGGGATTAGGGATCATAGGATTGGTCATGGACAAATGTAGATCCCTGTGGTAGTGGTTCTTTTTGAAAATCAGAAGGGTGGAGAAAAGAAGCAAGCCAAGAAAGAATGTAGCTAGGTACAGTTATGAAATAATGTCATTTTCCAGAGACATAGATTTTTCCTTGAATTCATTTAACAACTCTGTAAAAGCATCTATAAAAACACTTGAAATTGTGGCCCTATGTGAAAAACTCTGAAAGTTTTTCATTCATAGTTCTTTTGTATCCCCAATTTGAAGTGAAGATTGGGTACAAAAAGACCAATGTCAATGCGTACATTCATCTTTGTACAAAATTGCCTTTATGAGCATAAGAAAAATATTTTTAAAGGCAACCATTGTCTCAGATACATGTCAAATCCAAAATGCACCACTGGACTCTTTGCATGTTTTAGTGTGAATATCCCTGAAGTATAATTTTATGAAGAGGAAAGCAGTAGAGATAGGAAAGTAGAAAAGTGTTTGTAATTTCATATTTTTATTAGGGCAAATGAGGTGGTGATGTAGGATGTGTTGGTTATGAGGATGGAAGAGTGTAGACAGAAGTAAAAATTTCAAGGAAGAATGAAAGAGTATAGTAGAATTTGTCTGTTAGCAATGAAAAGAGAAAAGGTGTGATATAGAGTAGTGAAATAAACAATACCAAACAAAACAAAAATTTACTACTTCAAAACCCTTAACACTCAAAAAGCTGAGCAAGAAAAAATGACTAGTTTCATTTAAAAAGGCCAGAAATGGGAAGACAGGTATATGTATATGTATGTATGTATATATATATATACATATATATGACACACTCAAAAAATAAAAGATGAAAAAAATGGTAAAAATTTTAATTTGTTTTAGTTAGTTATATATAACACTAGAATGCATTTATATAGTTTCATATATCATACAAAGATGGGATATAATTTCTCATTTTTCTGAGTGTAGAAGTTGTAAAATCACATTGGTCTTGTAGTAATATATATATATATAAATTATATGTATATTTATATATATGTATATATATTATATTTATATACATAAATTAATAATCTCTGTTTTGTTCTACTATCCTTTCTATCCTCACATCCCCTCCCCTCTCTTTACTTCCCTCTATCTAATCTAAGGTATATCTATTCTTTTCCAGTGCCACATACCCCTTATTGTGAATTAACATCTGCATATTAGAGAAAACATTTGACCTTCCTTTTCTTTTTTTGCAATTTAGTTTATTTTGCTTAACATGATATTCTCCAACTCCACCATTGTCTGGCAAATGCTATAATTTCATTCTTCTTTAAAGCTTAGTGATATTCCATTGAAGATACATACCACATTTTCTTTATCCATTCATATATTGCATGGCACCTAGGTGTGTTCCATTGTTTAGTTATTGTGAATTGCTATTCTGAAGTAGCAATAAACAGTAGTAGTAAACAGTGTGGATCTTCATGTTTCTATGGTATTTTAAAATTTTGTTTCTGAGAACTTTCCACTTGTCTTCAGTGGTGAATCTTTGAAATGCTTGTGTGCACTGATATGATGACATTTAGTGTCTCCCCAAAAGATTTTTTGAAGTTTTGGATGAGTAAAAATACTTCCTTCAGAAGTCAGCATTTGCTGGAGACATTGAGAACTTCTGTAATCACAGTTGCTTGGGGGATGACTGCAGTTTCCAGCCAGCCTGAGTACTTCAGAGTGGCAGGATGTCAAAATAATATAAAAGGTCTAGAGATTAAATTCAGTGCCAGAATATTTGCCAGATATGCATAAGCCTTGAGTTCAATTCCCTACCTAAATAATGGCAATATAAATTACAATCTAAACATGCAGCTAAAATTTAAGCTTAATTTAAATGCATATTTGGGAAAATGTAAGTTATTATTAGAGGTATTTATTTAATTTTGATAGAATACTCTCTTTAAAAAAAAGTGGTCTAGCAGTTTACATAAATCTATACATTTGTCAGCAGAACCACACTTAGATATGCCACCAGAGAAAGGTCAAAAAACTCTTGATGGTAAAGAGAAGAAAAAGGCCAAGGTATGTAAACCTGTGACTTTAAATTCCTTGTTTCCTATAGTGTTCCTTGCTTTGATAATGAAGAGTTGGCTAAATGAAATTAGTTTTCAGAAGAGCCTTAGAATCTGATACTGAAGTCTGAACTTAAGCATTTAATTGGTTATGAATTTACAAATACTATAAGAAACCATGATATTAGAAAGTTTTATTTCTGATGGTTACTGTGCTTCCTTTTGGATAATCTCCTTATATTATCAATGAAATAACATTAAATATAAAACTTATTAACAACGGTTGAAATTTTGAACAAATATAACAGCCATGGTCACTGAGCACTACCATGTGAAAGGCTTTTAATTCCCAGTGACTCAAAGATTTCATTGAAACTTTAGTGTCAGTGTCAAGGTAGGACAGAGGCTCCTTATACAAACACAACTTCCATCTTGGATATTACATTCCAGATTGGACTTTGCTGTTAGGGAACTTATAATAACTTCCCAGCTCATTTCCTTTCCATGTAGAAAATCAGTAATAATTATGAAGGAGTTTACTTCAACCTCTTAGTGAATGGAAGTATACCGTGTAGTTTGAGGGCAACTCTGAAATTTTTTAGGTATGTTATTGCCCTGTTTTCTCTCATAAGCTGTATTGCTATGATGAGGTTTGTGTATGAATTTGGATTGATTTGTCTTCCAAGATATATGTTGGGTCATTTTACTGAAGCAATTTCTCTGTGGAGAAATTGACCTTGGCAGGGATTATATCATCTCAGTGTCAGAGCCCCACTGAGATTGACCAAAGTGCTAGGTTTACCCATCAACATCTGTTCAAAGTAGAGAATAATTACCAGCAACAACTACAACTAGAAAAAAAATCAACTACCAATGGAATACTTTACAAAATGATCTCCATGCCTCAAGTAACAGAAGAGAAAAACTATTTTAGATTTCAATGTGCTGATGCAATTCACATAAATGTGTCTCTACCTAGGAATTATAATTTTAGAATCCAATAACTTTAGGGGATTCTTGTAAGGAAATGTAGTTCTGCTTGTTCTCCTGAGCTCAAGTCCAGATAGAACAATCCTGGTGGTGAAGTATGAAGACAGATCTCTCCCACTCTCAAGGGGTGCTGAGGGCAAGTTTTCATTTGCAGAGGAATAGTCATACTTGTTTTATACCCAGGGATGTGAGTCTGGGAAAAACTGGAACTGCCTGAAAAACCCTGCCACAACACGGAGCCTGGGGACTGATCTGTATTGCAATCCCCACTTCTGGAATCCTTTTAGCAAATGTGCTCAGGAGTATGCAATTCTCAAGTCCCTGTAGGATTTCCTCCCTCCCTCTCTCTGATTAGGACAAAGTTGGCTTCCTTGCATATCTATGCTTGGGTAGTGTACTGCAGGAATGAAGCTTTCCACCAGAACCTGTCTCAGCACTCTTGGAATCTTCTCCTTCTTGAAAGCACAGAAAGCTGTTTTCCCTGTCACTAAACTGAAAGCACCAATTTGCAATGGGCTGTGGCCCCACTGCTCTGCACTCCATAGACTGGCCTAATAGCTTACCAAAACTCTTACTGTCCTTACATCCCAGTCATTCTCTCTTCTAATGTCATGGAGATGGCCTGTTTGTGTTGGAGATGCAAGTGTTCTTGACCTCTGACACAGACAGACTCAGCTAAAGAGCATTTCTAGCTAGGTTTCCCCCTCTGGGATCCATCAGAGACCCCAAGGACATCCCTGAACCAATGTCAATGGTGGAAATGAGGGCAATCCCCCCAGGTGCCTCTGAAATTTAAGTATGTCCATAATTGGGATATCTGCTCACCTGTGTGAACAGTGATTCTTACCAGATGATGGTCTATCCATAGCTACAAACATCACATTGAAATGAAAGTCCCTGTCTTTTTTTTCCTTGGGTAGACTATAGGTGCATTTCTTCAGCTGCTCAGAGCTCCCAGCACATGTGCACCTTAGGTTTCTCTCCTATAACCCAGCATGACTCTTGTGAATACCTCATGATACAGTGAATTCATGTCAGAGTTGAGCCTTGAAGTCAAAATAAAAAGTTTGTGATTTCTGATCTCTCATGAAGAAATCTGAGAATAGGAGCCCTGGTGAATGAAGTCTCCCAGGCAGGCACTCTGAGAAGCTGCAGGAAAGAATCCCAGTACACTTATCTTCCCTTGACACATCAAGCAGAATCCAAGTCTCTCCTTTGCTGAAAATGATTGGTTGACTGTACTGGACTTGGCTTTTGTTAGGATTGCTGGGATTCTCCCATTGAGCTCACCAGAGTGCAGCTTTCCTCTTCAACTCAGCCAGGTTTTGCCTGGCTCTGCTGCAGTCCATTTGTCTTAGGAATGCCTTTGTTATTCACTGGTTCCCTCTAATTGCACTCTGGTTATCCCATAGCCACACTATATCTTGGCATAGCTGCACACCACTCAGGTATCAGTCAGTTTTGTGTCTGTCTGTGTACCTCTTTACTTCCTTGGGGAACTTTTTTAAAAAATATTTTTTAGTTTTAGATGAACACAATACCTTTATTTTATTTATTTATTTATTTTTACATGGTACTGAGAATCTAACCCAGTACCTCACATGTGTCAGGCAAGTGCTCTATCACTGAGCCACAACCTCAGCCCTCCTTGGTAAATGTTTTGTTGTTCTTCCTTAACTGGAAATCATTTCATGCTCAACCTGATGGTTATGTACTGTTGGTTAAAGGGAATAGATAGAAACCTATTTCTTAGTACCATGCCATTTTTTCAAATAATATTTTATCAGGAAAAATTTTAACAAAAGATAATTAGACTTTGTAAACTCTTGCTGATCTAAAAGAAGCAAAATCAATACTATATTATTTCTTTTTAATATGACATAATCTAGACTCTTTTATCAAAACCAGTATCTTATTCATACACTAAAATAAGTCAGTCACTGGAATGAATTCAATATTCAATGCTGAATAACAGCATGTGTATTTGTAAGAATTTTTTAAAATCAGTTTTTATTAAATATCCTCTTTTGGTGGGAAATGAAGTGTTGGATCAGGTACACTGAAGTTTATTCCTTGTGGGAATATGCACCTCATCTATTGTGTTGTCAGTAAATATGTCTCTTTGTGCTTCATTTTGGTTTTACAGTTGTCAGTTTCCATATGGAGATAGAAGTGCAGCTTAATCTGGAGAGTGAATATGAGGTTCTGGTTTGAAATATTTCGATTTTCATTAGACACTTGTCTAATTTTTACTCATTGATCTCAAAACTATAAATTTTGATGTCTTATTAGATTGTGATTAGAAATCTTTATGCCACTCATTATTAATTATCACTTTACCAGGGTTGTTTTGGGAGGCTTCTGAAGACGTTTCATATTCATTCATCTGAAAATGATGATGATGCAAATCAACGAGAAAAACACAAAGTAAAAGAACATATAGAAGGTAAGAATTATATATGAAAATAATTCATGATATGAGATGTCTATTTTCAACCTGACCACCAGTATATTCTAGTAGTTGAATAAATGTACTCTTGAAATTGTATTGAGGAAAAAAACAGAAGTTAAGTTTTATAGCATCAATTTGTCTGGCAGGTAGGAGGATTTTCAATACTTTCACTGTCTCTTATTGTTGCAAACCCATTGAATTGATTCTGATCACACAGAGCAATGTTTTGTTTACCATAACTACATATAAACCCATATAAGTCCACTATGTATGTATATGATTTAACATCATCATCTAAAATGTTACTACTTCCTAGGACAGAAAATAGCAGAGAGAAAAAAAATGCGAAAGAGAAAAAACAGATTGCTTTTTGGGTGAATGCAAAGTCGTCATTTGTTCAAATGTCTACTGAAAAGTGTAATTTGTATACAGCTTACATCAGGGATGTGAACAGGAGGAGTCTGGGGCTAACTCCAAATAGGAAGTTGAGGTAGAGAACTTAGAAATGAATCAGTATAGCCCAAGAATCTCAACATTTAATGAGTCATCATCATTCTAATGTCCAGAATGCACATTCAAATTCAGCAGTTCTTTGATTCTACCTTTCTAATAAAATCAAAGGTGATTCCAATGTTCCTGCTCCCTAGACCACATACTGGGTAGCAAGGGAACAAACCTCTCTATAGAAAAAGTATTGAGAGAAATGTCAGTGAAGACCATTGGATCATAGTTCAGGCTATAACTAGATCATAGGGAAACATCAATCTTGTCTATAATTTGAGTATGTCTCTTGACAGGTAAGAAGGAAGCAGAAATTAAGAAATTGAGAGGATGAATTTCATTTGGCTTCAGTATATTTGAATTAGTAAAAAAAATGAGATTTTATTGGTCCTGAGTATATTGGAAGATGTAGGGCTGCTAATATTGTGTAATCTACAGCTACTCATTTCTCCTCTCCTTAACAACAACCAGGCATTGGGAATGGGTGTTGCATCATGTATTTGTTCACCTGAGATATATATCATTTTAGAAACTTTGGTTATCTTATTAAAGTTTCTAAAATTTTTTTATTTAGGGGAGTGATGGTACTATGAATTGACCCCATGGTCTTGGGCCTGCTATGGTTATACTCTTTTGTGAGTGACAGTCTCATTCTTAGATAGCTAATTTTCTGATAAGATCCTTTAAAGACTAACATGATATATCAAAAGAGTTTAGTTTTTTAAGCAGAAGACTTTGTAGAGTTAATTCCTTGAACACAATAATTTTTATTTTAAATCTAATTATTTTGAATTATAATTGTTCTTGATATGAGATA